GAAGTTTTGATGTGATTAGAAGTGTTTGAGTACTATTGATACGAAAAAATACTTTCCAGAATTTGTTCAATCCATTTACGAAAAATATCATCCCCTTAAGGTATAAGGTATAACACAAAACACTTGTCATATTTATAAAGGAGATGATATGTTTCGTATATTGTTTGAACAAATTCTGGAAATGATTATTTCGTGATAATATTATTCATTTACATCTATTTGAATCAAAATTTCATCAAAAAGATGGCCTTGTGAGAAATAAGCAGCGTAGAGAATGAAGGGAGATTGAATTATTTGAAAGGGGTGAAACGAGCAGTAAATGGATTGAACAAATTCTGAAAACAAAACAATTTCATTAAGAATGTTTATATCGGTGTATTTCATTCGAAGTCTTTCAAAATAAATAAATTTTTTCAAAAATATAAGGCATAACAAAAAACACTTGTCCTATATATAAAAGTGATGATATTTTTCGTAAATGGATTGAACAAATTCTGGAAATGATTATTTCCTAATAATATCATTAATTCACATCTATTTACATCAAAAATTCATCAAAATGTTGGCTTGGTGAGAAATCAGTAGCGTAGAGAAGGAAGGAAGATCGAATTATTTGAAAGGGATGAAACTAGTAGTAAATGGATTGAACAAATTCTGAAAACCAATAAATCCCATTGAGAATGTTTATGTTGATGTATTCCATTCAAAATTTCTCAGAATAAATGAATATTTTCGAAAATATAAGGTTAACAAAAAACACTTGTCATATTTATAAAGGGATGACATTTTTCGTAAATGGATTGAACAAATTCTGGAAATGATTATTTCCTAACAATATGATTAATTTACATCTATTTACATCAAAAATTCATAAAAAATTGGCTTGGTTCGAAAACAGTAGCGTAAAGAAGGAAGGAAGATTGAATTATTTGAAAGGGGTGAAAGTAGAAGTAAATGAATTGAACAAATTCTGAAAATGATTATTTTTTAACAATATTACTCATTCACATCTAATTACATCAAAAATTCATCAAAATGTTGGCTTGGTTCGAAATCAGTAGCGTAGAAAAGGAATGAATATCGAATTATTTGAAAGGGGTGAAACTGATTGTAAATGGATTGAACAAATTCTGAAAACAAATGAATCTCTTTAAGAAGGTTTATTTCAATGCATTCTATTCAAAATTTCTTCAAATAAATGAATATTTTCAAAAATATAAGGTATAACAAATATCACATGTCAATTATATAAAGGGGATGATATTTTTCGTAAATGGATTGAACAAATTCTGGAAAGGATTATTTCGTATCAATAGTATTCAAACACTTCTAATCCCAACAAAACTTCATCAAAATATTGGCTTGGTTAGAAATCAGTAGCGTAGAAAAGGAATGAATATCGAATTATTTGAAAGGGGTGAAACTGATTGTAAATGGATTGAACAAATTCTGAAAACAAATGAATCTCTTTAAGAAGGTTTATTTCAATGCATTCTATTCAAAATTTCCTCAAATAAATGAATATTTTCAAAAATATAAGGTATAACAAATATCACATGTCAATTATATAAAGGGGATGATATTTTTCGTAAATGGATTGAACAAATTCTGGAAAGGATTATTTCGTATCAATAGTATTCAAACACTTCTAATCACATCAAAACTTTATCAAAATGTTGGCTTGGTTAGAAATCAGTAGCGTAGAAAAGGAATGAATATCGAATTATTTGAAAGGGGTGAAACTAGTAGTAAATGGATTGAACAAATTCTGAAAACCAATAAATCCCATTGAAAATGTTTACGTCAATGTACTCCATTCAAAATTTTTCAAAATAAATGAATATTTTCGAAAATATAAGGTATAACAAAAAACACATGTCATATTTATAAAGGGGATGATATTTTTCGTAAATGGATTGAACAAATTCTGAAAATGAATATTTACTAATAACATTGTTCATTTACATCTATTCACATCAAAAATTCATAAAGAGTTGGCTTGGTTCGAAATCAGTAGCGTAGAGAAGGCAGGAAGATTGAATTATTTGAAAGGGGTGAAACTGGTAGTAAATGGATTGAACAAATTCTGAAAATAAATACATATCATTAAGAATGTTTATTTCGATGTATTCCTTTCAAAGGTTTTCAAAATAATTGAATATTTTCAAAAATATTAGGTATAACAAAAAACACTTGTCATATTTATAAAGGGGATGATATTTTTCGTAAATGGATTGAACAAATTCTGAAAACGAATAAATCTCATTAAGAATGGTTATTCCGATGTATTCCATTCGAAATTTTTCAATATAAATGAATATTTTCAAAAATTTAAGGTATATCATAAAAGACTTGTCATATTCACGGAGGGGATGATATGTTTCGTAAATGGATTGAACAAATTCTGAAAATGATTATTTCGTGATAATATTATTCATTTACTTCTATTTGCATCAAAAATTCATCAAAAAGATGGCTTGGTGAGAAATTAGCAGCGTAGAAAATGAAGGGAGATTGAATTACTTGAAAGGGGTGAAACGAGTAGTAAATGGATTGAACAAATTCTGAAAACGAAAAAATGTCGTTAAGAATGTTTATTTCCGTGTATTTCATTTGAAAATTTTCAAAATAATTGAATTTTTTCAAAAATATAAGGTATAACAAAAAACACTTGTCCTATATATAAAAGTGATGATATTTTTCGTAAATGGATTGAACAAATTCTGAAAATGATTATTTCGTAATAATATTACTCATTCTCATCTAATCACATCAAAAATTCCATCAAAATGTTGGCTTATTGTGATTTATTCGCAATATCATATTATAGTAGATCCCGCCGATCGTAGCGTGTGTGCGCACTTTAGTCAAAACGGTGGCCGGAAAACCGGTGGCCAGTTTCACGCACATTAAATCGTGAAACATTAAGCCAAGAGTTTAATTTATTTTAATATAACTCCATCTATATGGTAATAACTTTAATTACATTAAAAAATATGTTTCGAAGAAATATTAAAAGTTCATTCTGTATTTTTGTAAGTGTATAAAATTCCTAAGCTTATTTTATATTTGAATCAGACCCATATAATGCATTCCTCATTTTTCAAAAATCTACGGGTCTAGTGTTGAACGTTTTTCTTTTGGGCTCACATACTGGTTAGAAGGGCGATGAACCATCACATATAAATATTATCCTACCATAATTTCATCAGGTTATTCAAGAAATTCGAAATATAAAGCGTTCTTAATCAGAAAAATCAATGAATGTCAGCCTAAATACAAATCATCAATTTATATTCGATATTCAATTTAAATTTAATCGACCAATATCTTTCCTTAATGAACATCTATTTATATGCTATTTCCTAACGTAAAATAATTGATATGTTAATCTTCACGATGAGAAAATAAATAATCTATTATTGCAACCATTTTCCCTCATTCAAGTAACAGAAAGCCTATTGTCAGCTTGAGAAATTATTTTCCAGTCTGGTATTAAGTATTTCCTCAATTTATATAAAGTGTTCATAGAGTAGTTCAATGAACCTTATGTTTTTGCGTCATCGAAGTTTCATTAACAAATTATTGCATTAATGAATAATTAAAGTTCTCGGTAATTGCTATCATAAATATTTGAAATTGAACAAATTTCATTTCAATTTAAATTCAAAACAAATTTTGATTCGATTTCAATAAATCGACCCCGCCATTCTTCAATGCTAATTACTCTGATGCTTGATAGCGAAATTATAAACTGAAACGTTTTATTTGTCAATCGTTATCCTCGAGTTTTTCGTTTGTGATATTTGACAAGATTTCATCACTATTTTTTTGTTTGTGCATCGTGATTATAAAGAACTAGGCGGATAATAATTAATCATTTATCATTAATCGTTAGTCAGAATGAATATTATATATATATATATATATATATATATATATATATATATATATATATATATATATATATATATATATATATATATATATATATATATATATATATATATATATATATATATATATATATATAGACACTCACAGGTACAACTTCCAAGGTAAAATTTATGGGAGAAGTATCAGATCCCTTTGAAATAAAACCGGTGTGCGGCAGGGGGACGGACTTTCGCCAATCCTTTTCAATATTGTTTTAGGAAAGATCATTAGGAAATGGGAACTTCACATAAAGGGCATAAAAGTGGGTATCAAAAAAGAAAATAGAATGAATGTCAAATGTCTCGCCTTTGCAGACGATATTGCTATCATCACAGACAACAGAACTGAAGTTATTCTCGCCGTAGAAAAACTAAATGAAATTGCGCAGAAAACCGAGTTACAAATTTCTTATGATAAAACCAAATACATGGAAAGAAAACCAAAAAATAAATCCTCTTTTATCACGAAACATGGTGAAATTCTGCAAGTCGGCCATTTTAAATATCCTAGGGACGTTATACAGTCATCGGTTTAAACCGAATCGGTAATGAACAATGAATGGCCAATCAATAGAAACCATTTGGACAAACCTCAACATGGGCTCACTATAACAAAAAATGACATTTCGAGAGAATGGAACGCCAAATTGAGGCATTATAACACAACGATTCTTCCAGAAGCAATCTACGCATCTGAAAAAATGGTTATTGACGGTCATTCATAAAGATTTGCGGGCCAATCAATAGAAACGGCATTTGGATGAAAAGACCTCAGAATGAACTGCATCAAAAGAAAAATACGATAACACTATATACTCATAGAACAATAAAAAAAATAATAATATATATATATATATATATATATATATATATATATATATATAAACGTCAACAAGAATAAATTTTTTTATTAAAAAAAGCCTGTTATTGCTAAAAAACCTTCGAAATAAACTATCGTAAACAGGCAATAAATCAATTTTATTATTTAGGTAAAAATATATATATATTTATATATATATATATATATATATATATATATATATATATATTTCAAAGTGAAAAGTTTACGAACTCGACTGGGATTCGAACCCAGGTCTTCAAGGTTTACGCTCCGCTGCTCCGACCACTAAGCTACCGAGGTCTCCACTTCGAGATGCAACTTCGACTCATATATAATTACTCTTTCATTCGCAAGCTAGTTTTTGACGCTCGGATTGTCGTCTTTCAAAGTGCAGGCGAAAGTGAGTAAACACCTTCCCATCCTCCCAGATGTATTAATTTTCATTACGGATCATGACATTTAAAGTAAAGTTATTATTCGCGCTAACCACCCACGGACGGAACCATATTGTATATGAAGAAATGAATTTTTATAGTGGAATTAAATATAGACATTACACCCCAACGGGGTGTAATTTGAATCACAACTAATTAGTGTTGTCAGAGTTGGGATATACAACGAAACGTCAACAAAAGTAAAGCTTTTAACATTGAAAATAGGCTGTTATTGCTGAAAATATAAATATATATATATATATATATATATATATATATATATATATATATATATATATATATATATATATATGTTTTTTGTGTGAGTATGTACAGATTATTCGAACAATTTTACCACAACGCCCATGCTCCTAAAATTCTTGAATTAAACATGCAATTAAGATTGACCTTGGGCGATAAGAGGATCTTGTTTGATCATTAGCATTTTTAAAACGTATATACAACATAACGGAGATCTTATCATGTGTTTGATTAAAGGTTATCTTTTTCCAGAGATCTCATTTTCCTTCCATAGTATATAACACGTCAAAAAAGATTGAATCATCGTGAACAAATATTGCAATTTTCACTCACCTTTCTTTTTCTCAGTTTCTTTGCAGAAATCCAGTGGTAACTTTTCGGTACTATCACCTGCAACAATAAACAATATGCATGTTGTTTTATTCATATCATTTATATACCTAGAGATGTTTTGTATAATTCAAAGCAATTGACAAACTCCTCAAATTGTATTGTATACTCGAAAATTGTCGGGCTTCCAACCAATTATCGATATATAAATATATTTTATCATCTGCGTCCCAATTTCCAATCACAATTCCCATAATGACAACCACCCTGACTGTAGTAATAGTAATTTAATCAGTGATTCTACTCTATTTATAAGCGTATATTATAATAAGGGTTGCCATATTTTTTCACGGACGAACCGGGACAGTTCTTTCTTTTTTACTTTAGGTTTAGGGATGTCGGTTTCGGGGAGGGAGTTATGAAAACAGTAATGTAAAAAACACTTAAAATATAGATTAGATAATCTTTGTTATTTTATCATAACGGTACACAAACAAGATATTTCTACAAAAAAAACAGTTTTCTACTTGTTTTCTACCGCGGACTGTGGGCTCCTGCATCAAACACCGTTCATCACTCCAGGCACTGTTAATCATCGAAAAAACTTGCTCAACTGGGGCGGACGTTCCAGGAAGACAGAACACATACTCAACAACCATTCCAAGAAATTCGTTTATTTTATAAACGAATATTGATTTTATTTAATAATAATTAGACATTGCGATGTTTTGTTGCTTAAAGGAAGAGAGTAGCTCCATCCATTTTTTTTTTCGCTTGATTTTTTACGATCGTTTTCCTTTTCTTCTGTTTTCCAATCACCTACTTTAGAAGCCTAAAATTTCTTGGCAAGAACAACCTCATCAAAAAGCTTGTCAGTGTTAACCTCTAGGTTTTCCGAGATTCTTGTTTATCAACTCTGCTTTTCTTTCAACGTTTTCCCATGAAATGATGTTTTCATTGATCCAGACAAAGTCTCGTGCTTCACCGAAACTGTCTTCCCACAGGTCAAAATAAGAGATACACCGACTGTAAAATTCTTTGGTCACTGGCAATGCGGTTGCAGTTTGCATTGTCTTTCCCTTCAAATGATTTTAAGAAACATTTAGCCCCCTGGGGAACGAAGTTTGACTCTTTTCTTCCTGTTAAATTCTCCTTCAACAACTGTAATAAACGTATTCTTTTGAATGAATATATGTATTACTGTGTTACTTACCAAAATGTTACTGATCACACAAGAGCAGATTAATCATTCTATGATCTAATAATTTTGCTCAATTATTTCCAAGAAACTGTGCATACTGAATCTTAACCGGGACAATTTCAACAACAGGGCGGGACACCGGGACAAGCCAGTATATCCAGGACTGTCCCGGCGAAACCGGGACGTATGGCAAGTCTAAATATAATGAGTGTACCTAAAAGTGCAATCTGTTTTAATGAAAGAATGTACTTTCATTTTCTTTCAGTAATTTTTTTTACTAATGTTTTTTTTTTTTTTTTCTCAGCATGCTTGCACCCCCTTCAGTTCCACTCCCCGAATTGAGAATAGCTGAACTAATTTTGTAGTTTATTGAATTACAGTAAGATGTCTTGAATTCATGATGTAACCTGATAACGAGCTTATATAACGTTATGAAGGTTATCGATTTTTCTATTTTTTATACACAAACTGAGATTGAAGGGTATTCAAAACCCAAAAGTAATAGTAAAACGAAATCATAGTGAAAAATTTGTCGCCTCATAGCCTTCGTGCTATGATAAAAGAAGTTATCATACAGATGACCTAAATTATAAAAATAATGATCAAAGTACAAGTAAATTGAAAAACATTTTTCATGATTAGCGATAGACTAGAAATAGATAGTCCAGTTGTTATATGTTACCAGTCTAGTTGTTAAAGTTGATTTTTTCCAAGTATAACTTATAGTTTAGTTAACTTGGTAACATCAAACATCTTCAAAAACATGCATATCTCCTAAATAGGTATGAAAATTATCTCAATAGCTTAGTTACAAGAAAAAACAACGCTAACTATTTCATGGATTTTCAATCACCAAACAGGCATATCTAGTTTCATTGTTTATGATAAGAATATCACCTACATAGAACTGTCTTCTTTGTATTCAACTCATATATTTTTTCGTACTTTGTGTTCCAGAAAGACGCAATATGTCTTATTTATATATTGTTCAGTAAATCATTCACTCTGGTTGATGATGAATAAAAGTACAAAACTGGTTACAGTATTTTCCGGGAAAAAGCAGGTTTTTGTGTACAGAGACAATTGTTGTTTCAGTCGTTTCCGTAGCTATAATGAAACAATATTTAAATTTTTCTCATATATTAAATCATAATACGCATGAAACGTTTAGAAATACAACTTCCTCTTCTTATGCTAAATTAACACTAATGCAATTTTTCAAATCGAATGCTTGTAACTAATATAAAGTGCGGAAACATTGAATAGAAATGAAGAAGAAAAGAATCGTATAACTGAAATTGAACCCAGAAAATCGGTTTGTTAAGCCAGGTATACCAACTAAAATGCAGGAAAAAATACAGATAATAATTATACATAATATATATTACTAAGAACAAATAAAATAAAAATTATACTTGAACATTGAAAAACATAATTAGGGGTAGGAATAAATTTTAGGTAATTCCTAAGAACTAGATAATCACTCTGATCTGCTACCTGGAATACTGTCATTGAACATATTAAGTTTTCATCGACCATCGTTCTGTAGCCTTTAGATTAGGGTGCTTGCCTAGCAAACAGGAGATCTGGGTTCGAATCTGGGTAAGACATAGATGTTTATGTACGTATATGAGATTCAGTGATCATGAAAGTGAGGTTATATAATGGATAATGTACACATATTACCAGCTCAAAATTGAAATTAAAAAATTAAAAATATATTGTTCCAATAGATTCATAATATTATTCCGTTTTATTAGACTATTAAACTGGGCAAAGTATCGTAATGGAATATCTAACAGGTGTTAGGCGAAGAATTCTATCGAGAACTGTGTGATTCATAATTGAAAAAGTGATGCCGGCCTAACTCGAAAAAGCTTACGGTCGTAACAAGCACCAATTCAGCGTGTGACTCGAGAGAAGAACGTAGTGGAACATGCGATGGACCGATAACAACGCTTAAAAGGTATCAAAACAAGAAGACCATGACTGTGCGCCGCGGGAGTGATGCCGACAGAATTTCAATTTAAAATCAATCCAAACAAAAAGACAACCGCTGCGATTCAATCATGATTGCCTTCTACCAATTACCCACCAGGTTATGATACCGTGAAAGTTTGTTCGTCCGAATTTTTCATGCCTATTTTGTGTCACTCAATAAGCTGATCCGCTTCTGAATGAAACACGTATAAGTAATTAAGATAAACGTATGATATACCTACGTTGGGACAATTTAATTGATTAATTATTTTGGTTAACAACCAAGACAAGCAAAAGGTTTTCGAAAAGCGTTGGTATTTGAATATTTAAATAAAATGTAAAGGGAGTCCCAAAATTGACGCAAGTTTAATGAATTTAATAAAGACACAGTTTCTGATCGTTTGATTGTAAAGTTTTACAATCAGAAGCAACTTATAATTAGGATATGTAAATTACAATCAAATATATGCACTAGTGTCAAACAAACCAACATATGTCGAAATTTTCCAAGACTATTCTGCATATTATGAATGCTGGCATAAATATATTAATAATACATAAATATATATAATATACGCTGTATTAATTCAGCATAGTCATTAATCCATTGGTCCGATACTTGATGAAGATCTGAATACATACTTTGAATGAAACTAAGTAACGGGTGATTTTTTAAGTGTTAAGTTTTTCAGGTTGGCGGCACTGGTTAGTAATGGAATCCAAAAGTCATCTGTCAAAGTGGAAAGATTTCAGTACACACTGCCATTTCATCATGAAGAGACTTACAAACGAGCCACGACAGCTTATTGTTAAAATTTAATATCAAAATTCGTGCTCTATGAAAAATGTGTATCGTTTGTTACGACTATATTATGGTCGTCATAATCGACCTGGTGAATTCGTGTTGTTAATACCAAATTTCGCACTAAGTTTACTTTGTTGGACATTAAACCATTGCCTCGCATACGTACAGTGCGTTACTGAAGAGAATATTGCAGACGTAGCGTACAGTGTTAATGAGTATCGTGAAATGTCAATTTGTCGCCGTTCTCAGCAATTGGGCATGTGTTACTCAACCACATGTAAAATTTTAC